GAACTGGCGGTCAGTTTCAGCAGCGGCTGAATCTGGACGCCAGTTCCGACTTACATACAGATTCAACTTAAGAACAAACCTACAGTCCCTATCTTGTACGTAACCCGGGGACTGCCTGTAGATATTTCTTCTACACACTGGGAAGGAGAAAAGTAAAACAGATCAAGCTGGACTGCAACTGTGATTTCTATTTAAAGTACTTGGAAGGCACTCATATATTATAGTGGCAGTTCCAATATATATAATTAGAGATAGTTATTAGGGCCCAGTCCCACCTCCAGCAAAGTCAGTAAAAATATTCCCTTTGCCCATAATTTCTTTTCCTTTACTATAATGACTAAGTTTAAAAGAGAGAGAGAGAAGATGAAAATAAAAAGGAATATAAGTCTAGCAGTAATCAATAGATTTAAAGACACACTGTTAGGTGGTATAAATAAGCACTGACTTCAATTAAGCTATGCCAATTTACATCAGCTGGCTTTATACCCCAAAATGTTTATCTCAAAACAAAGAGTTTAATAAAAACATGTTATAAACACAAATGTAATATTAAATACATTTGGTAAATACTCTGTCAACAATTCATCCAAATAAAAATAGACAAAGGAAAAATAACTTGTATGTTTTAGTAAAAAATCTCAATGTTAATCAGTCCCTTTGTAATGTGAGAATGAGGGATATTTATTTTGCAGATGACAATGCAACATTAGTACTGTTTTTAAAATATCACTTCAATATTTTACATCACATAGAACACACAAAAACATTTGATATGTACCATAAAATACCATCTAGTCCTTTCACCATTATTTCTCTGATCTTTTCTTCTAAAAATTTAAGTGGATCCTCTGGACACATAATAAATACACCACACAACAGAGTCTGTAAAAACAAAGAGAGTACATTAATACCTTTTCCAAGTCTGAAACTGTTATGCTAAACACAGCTACCAAATCAACCTTAAACAATTTAGTATATATACAATTCTTCTCTATCTTGTTATCATTCTGTTTCCTTTATTTCTTATTTTAAATGCCATAATGTATGTTTTCTTTCTATACTAAAATATCAGTATATTTTAACTGGTAGCCCTCATATCAGAACAAAACATATAGAACCTCTACAGAATTTTCCACTCAAGGATCTCATTTTTTAAAAAAGCATTACTAAACTATCTCTTGCAAATAACCATGTAAGGTAAAGAAGATGTAGAATTGTGCCCTTCACCAACAACTAATCCTATATCAAATAGTTACCATAAAATCACTAGTATAATGCGCAATTTTTTCCCAGGTTTTTTAGCGTCAAAGTCGGGGTGCGCATTATCCATAGGAGGGGTTTTTTTTAAGTTTGAATTTGGCGGTTCCGCGGCAGTTAATTAATCGCTGGACACCAGAGGTTAAGTTGATTTTTACTAGCATCAACAAGCAACTATATACACAGTTTCAAAAAGGTAAGTTAAACAAATGAAATCAACACTGCAGCGCAAACAAGCAAATATGTTAATTGATCTTCTACTCATCTTCGAAGCCCTCAAATTCGCTTTTGTTAGAATCTTCCTCGAACAGACGAGCAATATCTTCCGGGGTATAGCCCTCGACATCTTCATCCAGGTAACACAAATCATTGTCATCTTCGCATACCAGTAATTCGCCCTTGGCCAATTCATCGTCGCTCGGATTCATCCACAGGGCATCATCCTCGCTGCCATCCATAACATTAGAGATGCTGCATTTCAGAAACCCATTCCTTATCAAAGCGGGATCAAGTTCAAGCCAGACATCCACTATCCACTGGGTAACATTTTGCAGCGTCAGTGTTTGCTTACGTCCACCTGCAGTAAATGTATGTTCACCTTAAAACAATCAGGTGTTCCAATTCCTGTGATGGCATACGATGACAACTAAATGCATCCAAAACTACTAGAGACCGCTTTCTCATAAGTCCACCCAGCCGCTTTGCCCAAACTGTCTATAGCCAATCAAGCATTAAAGCTTCATCAATCCAGCCTTTAGGGTGAACACGCACGTGAACGGTGTTCGGGAATATAACGTTCTTTGGCATTGTCTTGCGCTCAGCAATCCATGCAACCAGCTTGGCCTCCAACTCAGGATATGCAGCGCTTTTACCTCGCTCAGCCATCTTCATCCAAGGCAGCACTTGCAGGAGCTCTTTCTGCCATCTCCAAAACCAAATGTTAGACTCTGCTATGTCATCAAATTCACGGCTGACAGCTCTGTTGCCATGAGCCTCAGCATAGCTAAAAACTTTACGTTTTTCAGCGGTCGTTTAAGATCGCCAACAACTCCTGGCATCCCAAAGAGCATAGAAACGCCGTGCACTATATACTCATGCGCTCACGCATGATTACCTGGCAATACAAAAAGGCAAGACAAAATATGGCAAAGTTGGGGTGCGCTTTACAGATAAGAGTTCAGTTTATTCCGGGATTCTGACGTTTAAAAGGTAGGTGTGCATTATGCATAGGTGCGCATTATACTCGCGATTTTACGGTATGTTGCATTGTTTGGGGGGGATACTGCTTTTCAGTAGTATGCTATAAGACTAGCTAGCTGATTTCTCAGTTGTGAATAATGAACAATTTTCTTCTTTTCTGTATTGCTGTTGTAAACAACTATAATTTTACATTTAGATGGTTAATCCACACAATTGCATGTGCAATAGCAGTGTCTACTACTGTGATGCCTCTCTCATATTTATGAATCAGGCATTGAATTGCTATTTTTCTATGGTCTGTTCTGGATGACTATAGTTGCATACCAAAGAACCTTTAATTTACTTTTTGTGCAGCAAGTTGTCTGTATCTGCCATGGTTTGTGTGGACTGCCTATTTGCTTTGCTGGAGATCAAAGTCCGAGATCTTCAGTATTAGGCTTTTCAGAAGATAACTTCTTGTGAACTCTGTTCAGCTTTTCAAGCTACATCAGGACTGAAGTTGCACTAGTGAAGGTCAAATGTGTGGGTCCAAAAAGGCTTATGTGACTTCTAGTGATGGTGAGAGACACTGTTAAATTCCTGGTAGATGGGAAGACATTCATTTTCCTTGGTCCACTGCAATTCCCAAAGGAACTAATTCATTATTCATTTTTTCAATAATGAAAATGAACAAGTTTTTCTCAGGACAGCCAAACAAGAACATAGTGAAGCAATGTATAGTTATCTGTCAAAATAAAGACATATTTAGAGGATATGCTAATGGACTCTGTCTTTAAGTATGGCAAAAAAGAATAAATCAAACTCTGTGAACTGGTTACATTACAGCCATAAGAACAAATTATAGCTATCTGCACACAGAAGTATTCCAGAACACCTATAGGAGCACAAGGTACACATTTTCCACAATAGCTGTACTCCTAAAACTAGAGATGAGACCATTCTTCTGCAGATAACTATCCTAGGATACAGTCTGCAGTTTATACAAATATTTCCCTATGACTGGCAAGAAAAATTTATTGCTTGCATTGAGAGGAGATTATTTGTCAACAGTCATCACACAGCAATAGCTGAGATACCAGAGTTTTTTCTATGCTGAATAATGAATAACTATATTTCCTAAGCCCTCCTCCTCTTTCCATCCCCGCAGACCATAACACCATCCTCTGTGTTATATAGGGCTGTTATATGGATACAGTAAATCTCCAAGGGTATGTCTACACTACAGCGCTAATTCGAACTAACTTAGTTCAAATTAGTTAATTCGAACTAAGTTAATTCGAACTAACGCATCCAGACTAAAAAACTAGTTCAAATTAGCGTTTTGCTAATTCGAACTAGCATGTCCACACAGAGTGGACCCTGAACCGGGGTTAAGGATGGCCGGAAGCAGTGCCGGCAGGGCATCAGATGAGGACTTAGAGCGTGGAGCTGCTGTCTCAGGCTAGCCGAGGGCTGTGCTTAAAGGGACCCGACTCCCACCCCGGACAGACAGTTCTCAGGGGTGTCCCGCTTGCAAAGCAGTCCTGGCTTTGATTGCCCGGAGTACCCACACTGGGCACATCACAGCACTCGGCCATCAGACCGGCTGCACTTGCCGCAGGCTGCCATCTGGG